ACCGTGATTACTACCTGTACGCAAAAATGCCCAAGCGTCGGGACCGTGTCCCCATGTGATCTGCACGGGTGAGTCACGTCGGCGTCAAAGGAGCGACGTGCGACCTGTCAGAGCTTTATCTCCGATCGCAGCTGCCTTCTGCGCGTCCTGGGGATGTACCTTTGTCGCGCGCCGGAGACGACTCGACGCCGCTGAGATCGGAGATCAAGCTCTGACAGGTCGCACGTCGCTCCTTTGACGCCGACGTGACTCACCCGTGCAGATCACATCAGGACACGGTCTCGACGCGCTCGGTACGACGCCTGCGACCCGTCTCGGGTCAGGTGGCACGACGCTCACATCGCGCCTACCAGCGCTGCCGTGCAGGTTGCCACGACGAGGTCGAGCACGCTTCTATACGCTCGCCGAGCCTTCCTTTCCATCCCATTTGGCAGCCTGGGAACGGTGGCGGTCAGAGGCAAAGCATACGAGGGGTGGTGGAACCACATGTCACGGCTACTGCCGGCTCGACCCCACGATAGCCTCCGGAGGCTGACTTTGAGGCACAATCATCGGACGACGTCGGCGAGTTGAGTCGCGCTCGCGGTAGCCAGATGACCTCTCATACTAGTATCATCGGCCATGGCCGCAGGAAGCGCGGGGGAGGGCGCTGGGAGCAACACGGAGCTCCGTTGGACGTTTTCAAGATTAGCGTGTCAGAGTGAAATGGAACTAGCCGTAGGCACATAACCAAGAACGTTTAGCTGTCAAAGCCCATTCATTAATAGCCCCCTAACAATATTTGAAGATAGATAGATTAGTACAGATTTTGGCCTCTATATCCGTTTTATAACTCAAGCGAGCCCTACGTGCGTGGCCCCCGCACTTGGAGCACTTGGAGTGCAGTTACGTGTTGGCCAAAGTACAGGTTTCGATCCGGGCCACCGCAAATTTTGATCAGCAAATTTCGAGGGGCGGCCGCAAATTTTGAGGTAGATTTTGATTGTCAAAATGTGTCCGTCTTGGCACAGGATAGAGCATATAGGCGGCGAACACCCATGTGCGCAGGGACATCGCGACTCTGCCCGCTCGCTCGACCCTTTTGCCGCGAGAGGGCGCCGGCCGCGTGTAAGAGGTGGCTGGCGCCCTGAGGCGGCAATTGGTGGCGTGGGGAGTGCGGAACGCTACTGGCGGCGTGACAGGGCCTCTCTCGGTTGCGTGTGCCGCCCATCGGCACGCGGGTGCGCAGACAACGCGCGACTCTGCCCGCTCGCTCGATCCTTTTGCCGCGAGAGGGCGCCGGCCGCGTGTATAAGAGGTGGCTGGCGCCCTGAGGCGGCAATTGGTGGCGTGGGGAGTGCGGAACGCTACTGGCGGCGTGACAGGGCCTCTCTCGGTTGCGTGTGCCGCCCATCGGCACGCGGGTGCGCAGACATCGCGCGACTCTGCCCGCTCGCTCGACCCTTTTGCCGCGAGAGGGCGCCGGCCGCGTGTAATCGTGTAAGGAGGTGGCTGGCGCCCTGAGGCGGCAATTGGTGGCGTGGGGAGTGCGGAGAACGCTACTGGCGGCGTGACAGGGCCTCTCTCGGTTGCGTGTGCCGCCCATCGGCACGCGGGTGCGCAGACATCGCGACTCTGCCCGCTCGCTCGACCCTTTTGCCGCGAGAGGGCGCCGGCCGCGTGTAAGAAGTGGCTGGCGGCCTGGCGCCCTGAGGCGGCATTTGGTGGGGTCAGCGTGCGGTGCTGAGTCTTACTCGTCGGCGCTGGGGCCAGATCCCAGCGCAGAACTCTGCAACGCTGGCATACAAACACAAGAAGACTAACCCTAACCCTAACCCTAACCCTAACCCTAACCCTAACCCTAACCCTAGGTCAGCGTGTGGGGCTGAGTCTTAGTCGTCGGCGCTGTGGGGCCAGATACCAGCGCAGAACCCTGCAACGCTGGCATATACAGACACAACCAGACAACCCTGACCCTAACCCTAACCCTAACCCTAACCCTCTAACCCTAATAACCCTAACCTAACCCACCCCCCACCTCCACACCGCAAATTTGAAAGATCTTGATGAAAATCAGGCCCGACTGCAAATTTCTTCAAAATTTTCGCAGGCGCTCCGCGCCTGCAGATTTTGAAATAAATTCGACAAAATTGGTACCTGGCCCAAGTTACGTGGCTGCCAGTTCGACTCTGGGGAGGATCGAACCATCAACACAAGTCACGGTCGCGGCCTTCCGACTCGCGCCTCCGCCTCACTGGCACTATTGTAGCCCTGGCCGGTGCGCGTGCTCAGTTGAAGTTCCGGAGTGAAAATTCGAACGCGTTCTCTCACGGTGACCAAAAAATGTCCACCTAGAGGCACCTCCGGAGGCAGGCCGCCGCAATCCGGCGACACAGCTCCAGCTGTCGAACTGACCCGCAGCTCCTCTCAGAGCGGGAACTGTGACGAAAGTTGACTGAGGCGGTTGTCAGGAATCATCATACGGATCACATGGTGGCTCTCTCATGACGGGAGACCGCCCGACCACTCCTGGGTGGCACTGCCACCGGTGTCGCTCGACGTCCTGTCGACAGCGTGCCGACAGCGACACAGACCATGTGGGACGCGTCGAGTATCGACCTCTACTGCTTACCCAGCCTTCGAGTGTATCCTGACTGTGGTCCCACACCCACTGGTGTCCATCTCAGAGACCGCAGGAGGTCATGAGGGTCGATGGGAGTGCCAACCCCACAATGCCTAAAAACCCAGCCCAGTATCAACCGGCGCCCGCACTTGGAGCACTACATAGAATTCGCTACATAGTCCGTGTCGTAGTCTCGTGACATGTGGAATCTAGAGAAACCTTCTGAAACTCGGGGAAATCTATCTATCTATCTATCTATCTATCTATCTATCTATCTTCTGAAACTCGCGAAATTCTCTGGAAATCGGGTGCTTGGGGGTATCAAAATCTTAGTACAGTACAGATTTTGGCCTCTGTATCCGTTTTATACAGTCGTAACTCAAGCGAGCCCTACGTGCGTGGCGGAGCGGCTACCATCTCACAGTAGAAGTGCCCGTTCTTTCTTTCTTTCTTTATTAATTTCAAATATTGAGTTTTCATCAAACACAGAGAGCATCGCGAACGAACCTGCCCCTTGTATCCGATTAGCTGCGGCACGCCAGCAGACGGCGCACCTGCGCAGGATCGCTCAGGCGCAGGTAGTAAATCAGCTTCCGGTAGCCATCCAAGCATGCGCCCTCCACAACGTAATCAAAGTTGTCGTTGTCATGCGGATGCTGATACCGACGGGGAACTGATCGAGACGAGAAGTTGTCACCGCTGATGAGGCCGCAGCGCCATCCGTCCGAGACGCCGTCGAGTGCCCAGCTTAGTCGGCGCCTGCCGCGCTCCTCGTTTGCTTCGCCCAAGTCTTCGCAGTCGGAAGTGCTCAAAAGCACGGCCGGCACGCTCGCGAACCCAAAGGCACCATCTTCATCTGGTGAACCGTGATCGACATCGTCGTCGTCGACCCCGTCGTTTCCTCCCGTCCGCACGCGGTACCAGTACAGGCCGTTGTGCTCCTGAGCAATGTGTGACTCACGCAAGGCAGGGGGTTGTCCGGTGTACGCAAAGACGGCGTCGCGGACGCCCACTGCGCCCATCTCCAGACTCCCGTCAGGTGCGCGTGCGCCAACGAAGACAAAGGTGCCCGCGGGCACGCTGTCTAGATCAGCCGGGTGGGTGATGGCCGGGTGCTCGGTCTGAGGCCGGTCGTGTTCTTCGGCCCATTCTTCAAGATGCCGCCCAGCGGCATATGGCCGGTCCATGTGGCACACCCACCCGTCGAGAAAAGACTGCGGAAGCTCGAGGAGCACCCCTCGTGGCAGCACGCTCTTGTATATGTAGCAGCGGTCCCGCCAGGTGGGTGCTGCGACTTGCCACTCACTCCGCTCGGGCCACTCCGACGCGCACACCGCCCGCCAGACGGTGTCGTTATCCTTGAGTGCTCGTCGCCAGCTTCGTCTCACCGCGGTGCTGCAGACGAGCGATGCCAGCGACAGGAACCGACCGACGTGCGCAACGAGGTCGGGAGGAAGGGCCTCGGCCATGTGTCTGCGGCGTCCAAGATCTTGGGCTAAATTTAGTGCGTGTGAATGAACTTTAGCGCGTCGGAGCCCCGGGCCATTTGCAATACGCGTCCAGACTGGCGATGTGCGCCTCCTCCGCTACCTTCAGGTCTGATCCTGGAAAGTCGCCGTTGAGTGCCCGTGTCACGTAAGGAAGAGTCAGCGCGCGCAGCAGGCTCCGCGTCAGGGCCGTCTGCCCGCTGAAAGGGCAGCCGCGCATGAGATAGTTAGAGGCTGCGCAGGCCGTCCCGTTTGCTGTTTGAAACGCCTGTTCGGTCAGCCTGTTGCGCTGGCCGCTGCGCGCGCGCGCTGGCCGCTGCCGGCACACGTGCCGCAATATGTGTCACACACGGCGGCTTCTGCCACCTCTCGATTGGTTCTACTTTCTCCGCACACCTACCGGGGAAGGGGCGCTTGGGAGCGGGGGCGGGGGCGGGGGCGGGGGCGCGCAGCGCGGCTGCGCGGCGCACGCAACAGAGGGTAGGGTGGGGAAGACGGCGAGGAGGGGGCGGCGGCGGCGGCGGCGGCGGCAGCGCGCGCGCGGCGCGCGCGACGGGGGGGCGGAGCAGCGACCGCTGGCGCGGCCGCTGCTCCGTCTGTGCCAGGGACGCGCGCTCTGCGCCGCTGCACAGAGCGCGCGTCAGGGCAAGGGGCATGCGTGGCGGCGCGGGACGCGCGGCGGCGGCGGCGAGCACGCTCCGTGAGCGGTGAGGCGGCCGGGCGCGGGCGCGGCGGGTGACGGGTCAAGGGAGCAGCCCACACCCGGCGTCGCTTTTTGAGCGACGCCTGTGGTACGCCTGCGCAGGGGCCGCAGGGCGGTCAGTTGTGGGGCGAGGCGGTGCCGGCCGCGGGCCGGGTGCAAGGCGCCGGCCTCGGCGCCGCCTCGGCGCGCCGCACGGGCGCGGCGAGCCTCTGAGCGGGAGCCGAAGGTTTGCCTGTGGTGGTGGGGAGGGAGGGAGGTGGGGGTGGTTTGACTTTCCCGCAGAGGCCGTCCCTAGCTGTGAACAGCAAAACGGGACAGTATCCGGCAGATGCCCCTCCAGCTTGGCCCTGCGGAGGCATTCCTCGAAGAGCTCCCCTCCGTCTATGTTCCACTTCCACGCCGCCCCGGCCTCATCCTCCTCCGCCCCGCTCTCCGTAGCCGAGGCCCTGACCGCAACGCGATGGCACAATGCGCCGATGCGCTCGGCTCTCCATTCTCTGTGCCTCACCGCGTCGCGGCGGAGGCGGCGAGCGCCTCGTGTGCCAGCGGCCCCCGCGGCCGCCGCCACCACGTAGTCCTCGTTTTCCATTTGCGGCGGGCGCCCGGCAGCCAGCCAGCGGCAGCCGGCGGCAGCCAGCTGCAGCCAGCGGCAGCGGACGCAGTACCACGGCACTCCGACTAGTCGGCTCTGAGCTCTGTGCCAATTCGCCGCCCTCGTCCCGCCAACCTTGGGGGTATCAAAATCTTACTTAGTACAGATTTTGGCCTCTGTATCCGTTTTATAACTCAAGCGAGCCCTACGTGCGTGGTGGAGCGGCTATATTTTTACACACACACACACACACACACACACACACACACACACACACACACACACACACACACACACACACACACACACACACACACACACACACACACACACACACACACACACACTATATTTTTAACCGTGAACGCAAGCGGCGCATTTTTTTTCATTGCACCCCTCAGTGCGCTTTCGACGATGGGCTGTGGCGACAGCAAGGCGGCGCAGTATAGGGCTGAGGCTGATGACTACGCCGCCCGCAAGAAGAACGGCTTCAAAGACCCGCAGCTAGAGAAGTGGCGGAAGGACGGCATCAAGCAGAAGAAAAAGCTGAAGCATGTCGAGGACCCGCTGAAGAATAAGCGTCTCCCACAAAACCCGAAGCCCAAAAGGGGAGGCAACGGGCCGACGCTGACCGGTGCCACTCCTGCGTCCGGGCCCAGCGGAGACGAGCTCAAGAAGCAACGCGGCAAGCTGAAGCACCGGCGATGAATTCAAGGACGCTGTGTGCCTTCGTGGGCGTATTCTTATCGCCCCTCGCCAGCGCGGCAGTTCTGATGACGTTATGGTTGTGAGGGTTGTCTGGTCGTCGATGCATCAAGGTGGGAAGTTCGAGTCGGTGCCAAATACCTTCTCGAAGAATGAACACACGTGCATGTGCATGGTGCATACTAGTGGTACACCGACGCGGCTACGGAGAGAGGAGAGACAGTGCGGCTTTACCACGGAGAGCACAAGACACGCAGTGTTACAGACGCCGAGCCGCACAATAGTAGTGTGCCGCATAATAGTAGTGGGGGCAAGGGCCCGAGGGCGGGGCTGCTCGGCGCGCTCTGTGTCTTGCTCGATCTGGGGCTGGGCCCCGGGCTGCTGGGTGCCTGTGGCGGTGCCTCAGTGCCTGACAGTGACACGCTGAGTAACAGTAAGCTCTGACCTTTGACCTTTGAGCTCTGACCTGCTGTCACCTGTGACCTGGGCCGTGTCTATGTCTCTAAGCCAAGCTGTTTCAAAGTGTTTCAAAGTGCGCAAACAATCGCGCCTCAGGCTGCTCGGCGACAGCTCTGTGTGCACACACACAGTGACTGAAACCCAGTGAAAGTGAAACACAGCTGCGCACAGCTGTATTGCATTGCTGGGTCGCACCTCGGCACTGCAAACTCCCTCGCACAACACTGGGCACGGGACTGGCGCGCACTGGCACTAACACAGGTACACCACTGGAGCCGCCTAAGCGACTCCCGCGAGGACGGTAAAAAAATTCCTAAACGAAAAGAATTTTACAACAAAGCTCCCTCGCACAACACTGGGCACGGGACTGGCGCGCACTGGCACTAACACAGGTACACCACGGGAGCCGCCTAAGCGACTCCTGCGAGGGCGGCGAGGCACTTAGCTCCGTGCACCCGCCCGCCCCCGCCACAGGCAAGCTCATTCACAACCTGCTCTGCGATTGCCTGTGAAGAACGACCAAGAAAAGAAAAAGGAGAAAGAAGCGGAGTTTTAAAAACAAGAACCGGAAAGAACAAGGAAAAGAAATCGTGAGGGCTGTGAAAGATTTTTGGCAAAAAAAGAATGGCTGCATGAATTTGGACTCAAAAACCAAGCAAGGCCCCTTTTCTCTCGACCACGCACAACATCCCGAGGAAAAGAAAAATTCTACACAAGGACATTGATGCAGTCACTCGACTCCGTCGGGGGCGGACGGTTTGGGGGAGCAAGAAAGAGACCGAGCGAGGGAGTCGCGATCGGTACCCCCGTTCGATCTGAGCGCAAAGGCGCAGCGCGGGTGGAGCACGACGGTTGGGCTGCTACGTCTTGGCACTTGGGGGGTCCGTCGGCGGGAGAGAGGTCCTCACAAACACAGAGGTCCTCATCAGACACGAGAGGTCCTCGTGGACGAGGTCCTCAGTATGCGTGAGGACAGGACCTCTCTCTTGAGGAGATGCGAGGACCATATTTTGTCGAGCTTCCTTGAGGCCGAGCTCATCCTCGCGATGGGTTGCAATACCTTTTTTTTAGGAGCGGAGCCTCTCGTTCATTTGCGGTTTAGTGGTGAGGACCTCTATGGATGGAGATCTGTTCATTCAGCTGCATGTCAGTCAGTGTTACACACGTCCTAGCATGGACGACGGGGCACACGCACTCGCGGAACACAGGGCATTACACACGAGGCGTTGTGTGCGTTCTCAGGGAAAGGCATCACCACAGACAAATGTATAGTCAGAGGGGCAGCAGTGGGGACCCCCACTCACGACCCCGCGAGCGCCTGTAGCGAGATGTCCATCGCTGCATTGGTTCTCGCCAAGCATGAGCGCACTGGTTTAGTGCGCGCAATGCGCGGGGAGGGCGGCCTAGCCCTCGCCGGCATGGCAAAGAAGGCGTCGGGCGGGCGCCTGTTCTCCAGCGTCTGGCGCCAGGCCGAGCGATCGGCGGCGAGCTCGGGCCACCTCGAGCGGTCGATGTGGAACTTGTCGAGCGCGGTGCGGATGCTGCGCCCAAACGTCATGTTGGGGCACCCGATCGGCCGGCCGTGAGGCACCCACGATGAGAGCATGCGACGAGGTAGGCGATTGAAATCCATCCTGCTGACATGCCCGAGCCAGCCCAGCCGGCGTCGGTCGATGTAGTAGTCGATGAAGTCGAGACCTAGCCTGGCGCAGAGTTCGCCAGTCGTGATGTGGTGCTCCCACACGTGCTTGCGAGTGACACGACACATCGCACGCACGCACTGTGCGTGGAAGACGCGGAGACGGTGGAGGAGGCGCTCGGTGAGCGCCCAGCACTCGCACCCGTATAGCAGGATGCATTCAGCTGCATGCAGCGGTTATAATGAGATACGAAGGTAAGTGTTGAATTGCACAAGGTACATGTACATGGAACTGTGCGGAGAGCTGGCAAAGCACTTGGAGCACTTGGAGTGCAGTCATTAACAGCGGGAAATGCAAATTCTTTTTATGCTGCGCCGGGTTGGTCGCTCTTGACCTCTTTGCTTGCCGACACTCCTGCGTGGCATCGCCCGTTCGCGGTTAGGTTAGGTAGAAAGGTGAAGAACGCGGTCCCGAGCAATGAAAAAAGAATAATGTACGAAAGAGAAATCCTTTGGACACGGAGTGCTTGGCTGCTCGCACACACAAGCACAACACAAGACATCGAGTTCTGACTCTCAACAGCTCCTCTACAACGGAAGCTATGGAATGCAGCTGACTCGACTCCAGTGGTCAGGGAATGGGAGTTAGGGGAGCAAGAGAGAGAGGGTGGTCGCGAGGTTGGCACCTCCGCTCGGTCTGAGCGCACCGGCGCAGCGGATGGAGCAGGATGGTTGGGCCGCAGGCTACGTGGGGAGTCGGCGGGAGAGAGGTCCTCACAAAGACAGAGGTCCTCACGTCAGATGAGGTCCTTAAAGAATCCCACTCTTTTTCCTTTAAAACGAACTCTGGAAGGTCTTGCAAACAACACGCCTCTCAACACACAAAAGCGTGGATCCTTATAACCGTATTCGCTCTCGATCTCTTCTTTCTCTTTGTCACCTGGTGTTGTGCTCCCGCCGGCTTCGACGAACACCGCTTGCGCAAGCCCTCTCCACTCGTGAGCCGCGGGGCTAAGACGATCACAGCAGGGCAATGTTGTGGCGGAGGAGGCCAACAGCGAACGACTATTGGACTTGGAGTGAGGTCCTCACGAGAGGTCCTCACAAGGTCCTCACGAGAGGTCCTCACGAGAGGTCCTCACGATAGAGTGGAGAGGTCCTCACGAGTGGCAGAGGTCCTCGGCAGGGATCTCGTCTCCAACGTAAGCTCTAGATATATGATTGACGTCGCGGCGAATCCCTAGGCTGCTGAGGCATGCCGCCCTTGGGTCGGAGATTGCCTCGCTCCTGCCCACCCAGGCTGCCCGGTGGGGTGTGGGGGGAACTCTATGACGCGGTGACATCCTTCCAGCGGGAAAGGCAAAGAGACGTGATCACGGTCAAACAAACACACCACCATTCAATAGTGCGAGCAGTTGGACTAGGATTTCTTCTTTATTTCATTGGCGGATGATGAACACACCAGTGAGGGAGGGCGAGACGATCGAGGGGTCCCGTACCATGCGGAACCGACCCTATCCAGTGCTCAAGTGCTCATTGGCGGATTTGATCATCTGCCTGAGGACGACTTCCTCTATGGCGAGGGCGACGGCTTCTGAGGAAGCCGACGCCTGCGCCTTGTCTGTCGTGTGAAACGTGCGTGTGCGACAAAAATATAAAATATTCGCACAAGCGGGGACCGCGCCGCGTCTCGCTCATAAGATAACTCACGCTCGCGCAGGGGAGTTCGCGGATCACCAGCTTCCGCGGGTCCTGCGCCCCTGCCCGCTGCCGCGCCTCCACCTCGCTCCTTCTCTCCTGCTTACCTTTATTGTCGGATTCTAGTGCCGGCTCGCCCCATGCTGGACTCCGACGGCTGCCTCTCTGGTCGTAGTTCTCTCTTAAAACTCACACAAAAAACAGGCCGGACACACGCCGTCGGTGTCTGGGGACACTGGAGCGGTGGAGGCGGGGCGATCTACACACAAGAGGGAGGGCGAGCGGTGGACCCTCCGCGACGCTGACGTTTCGATATATTTAAGAAGAAAAACCTGCCCGCGCGCATCGCAAGGAATCTAGAAAACGTCTAGGGACCAGGGCAACCTGGATAGAGCGAACCTGCCTGCGGGCTGCGGGCCGAAGCTCACAGGACACAGCTCACTTCTCAGAGGAGGAGAGACGGAGAGGGAGGAGGCGACGAGATGGGTTCATAAGCTCTCCAGCATGCTCTCGAAGTCCACGACGTCGCAAAGCCCCCGGTCCACCCAAGAGTAGAGGCACTCCCCGCCACTGCCCACGACCGTGCAGCCGCCCAGCTGCGTCAGGCAGCGCTCGTCCGCGGGCTTGAGCGCGCCCCAGTGCTTCGCCTGCAGGCTCACCAAGTTTTGGAGCCGCAGCGTGGCGAGCTCGAACGGCCGCACGCCCCACGACGAGACGAGCGGCGTGTCGTCAAAGGCGTTGGCGACGACCTCCTCGTCGGCCAGCTGCAGCACGCTGTCTGGCCAGCGGCCCGCGAGCTGCCCCTGGGGGGCGGGGGCGGGGAGCGAGTCTGGCAAGGGCAGCGGCGGCAGTGGAGGAGGCGGTAGGGGCAGCGAGGGCGGCGGCGAGGGCGGCGGCGAGGGCGGCGGCGAGGGTCTAGCCGACAGGATCTAGCCGACAGGGTCATACGAGTGGATCTAGTGACAGGATCTAGACGGCTGGATCAAGACGGCTGACGGCTGGATCTAGACGGCTGGATCTAGTCAACTGTGGCGTCACCTGCTTGAGGCTCTCCTCGATATTATTAATCTCGGGTAATCTCGGGTAATCTCGGGTAATCCACCTGCTTGAGGCTCTCCTCGATCCACCTGCGCTTGCCGCCCGGGCTGCCAAAGTAGCCGACGAGCACGGCCGGCAGCGTCGCCCACGCGCCCGGGCCGCCGACGATGCCCATCACGAACAGTTTGGCGAACGCACTCAGGGAGGAGTCGTCGGGCCGAAAGCCGCGGCTCACGCCAAAGCGCCTGCCCGCCTCGCCGGCCGGGTCTGCGTACAGCTCGACGGCGTCGGGGAGGTCGAGGAGCGACGCCAGCTTCTCGCACGCAGCGGGCGGCCTGCGACGGGCGGGCGGAAGCCGGTGAGGATCGCTGCGGTGGCGAGGGCGGTGGCGGACGGCGTGGACTGCGGCGCACCCGTTGACCACCATCATGCACCGCGTCACGCCCTTCGCACGCAGGTCTGGGAGGAAGACGCGCACCCGCTGCATGTACTCGACCATATTGAAATCAGCAGGGTACGTGCCCAGCACCAGCAGAGTCTTTCCGGCCGAAGACGCCAGCGCCTCGCCGAGGTCGACGTGCCCGCCGCCTCCGGCTCGAGGCAGCCTCACACCCTGGAGCGAGTCGGCGGGCTTGGATGCCGAGAGCGGGATCACGAGGGCCGAGCCGACGGCCAGGCAGGCGGCGAGAGCGGCAGCGCGCAAAGGCATACACATCCTACATACAAGCACAGGAAAGAAAAACGTCGGCAGCATGTTTTTCTTCTTTACGACAACGAGGTGGACTGGTACTAGCATTTTGGACACAAACAAATCTCAATCGGACACACCGAATTTTGAGATTTCCGCTCTCTTTCTTCTTCGCCGTTCGCTCGATGGGGAGGGACCACGCAGAGCAGAAGTAGATCACGAGACATGGGGCCTTTTCCATTGCTGTGTTGCAAAACAGACATCAAGCACAATCACTTTAACATATGTTTTATGTGTCGGCTTGCGCATGCAGCACATGCACATTGCAGCAAACCGTTTGCGGAATCGAGACGGACACATCATGCATCCACGCGCCATGCGCTCAGCATGCCTCAAGTCGACAAGTAACTTAACAAAGCCGAGCGGCCGCCCGCAAACGGGCAGGGTTAGAGTGCGGACCTCTTGAGGACCTCTTGGCAGCGTGAGGAGTGGAGAGTTGAATAGTCGCGGAGCTGGCCCTCGGCAACGCGTTCGGCACGCGGTGCGACCGCCATAAATAAATAAATAAAACGGGCACGCGACCGCCTTTTGTTGTGCGTGCCGTGTTCAAATTCTTTTTATCAGCACGGTGAAGAGCGCGCCATTTTGCAACTGCTTCCCCGCGGGAGACAACATAATTCACGCAACCCGAACTCTGCGGCTTCAAGCACATAATTCACGGTCCATAATCATACATTGCGTTGTTTAAGCAGTTTAAGCAGTTCATGCACGTGCTGCACAGCTGTAGAATGAGCTCCAAGTGCTCCAAGAGCTCCAAGAGCCGCGCAACCTACCGCATGCGCTCAGCCTTCCCTCTTACATATCAAGTCGACAAGTAACAAAGCCTCTACACGCCGAGCGGCCGCCCCGCAAAAGTGTACTGTTTGTGAGGACCTTTGGTGTGAGGACCTCTAGTCTTGGCAGCGTGATGCTCGTCCTCTAGCAATCTCCCCCGACCGCGAGGCCGGACTAGACCGTGTGTGGGGTCATGTGAGGTGTCTCTGGTCACTCTCCTCAGGGGCTAGCCGCCAGCGGCCAGCCCTATCTCGCACTCACTGGCGGTGACAATTCTATGGGTGAGGGTACGCGAGCAGAGGTGCGTGAGCAGAGAGAGTTGTTTTGTTTAAATTCTTTTTAGCAAAAGGTGAAGAGCGCGCCATTTTGCAACTGCTTCCCGCGAAGTAGCGTGCCCCTGGTGCCCTACAGGGGCTTCGCATGTGGCAGCTCGAGCACCTGAGCGCTCCCGGGGCGGAGCGGCTCTTCGCCGACTTCGCCTCGAGCACGGCCGGCGAGGCCTCGTCCGGCGACTGCGACGAGCCGCCGTTGCCGAGCAGCTCGCCCGGCGGCGCCTTCTGCAGCAGCGGCTTCTGCGGCGGTTCCGCGGCATCTGCGGTGGCGTATGCGTCGCCGCAAGGCTTCCCGAGAGGCGCGGCCGCTCGCTACGCCTGGCAGCCGGAGGAGGCGCTGGGCCTTGCCGCCGCCTGCTGCGCCGACTCGCCGTCGCCGTCTCTGTCGCCAGTGGGCCTGCGCGCGGCGGGGAGCGCGCCGCCGAGCCCGGCGAGCAGCATCGTCTCGATCCCAATTTTCACGGCGGTGGCCGCCGCCGCGTGCCGCGGCTCCGCCGACGCCTTCAGCGCCGGCGAGGAGGCGGAGGCAGAGGCGGCGCCGCAGCAGCGCCGCACCGACTCGGCTCCGCTGTCGCCGTCGGCGTCGCTCCACCCCTCCGCGCCGTCGACGCCCGGCGGCGGCGTCGGCGGCTGTTACGCCGCGTTCGACGCCGACCCCCCCTCCCCCCCCGCCGCCGTGGCAAGCGACTCGGCCGCAGGAGCGGCGGCGAGCGACGCGGTCGGCGCTTCCGGTGCCCTTGAGCTCTGTCCGGTCGGGGACGAGGCGCGGCTGCGCGGCGCGCTCTCCCGCGCGCGCGCGCAGGCGCACGCGGCGCAGCTGACCGCCTCGCGGACCGCGGGCGAGCTGCGCGCGGCGCAGCACGAGCTGGCAGAGGCCGACAAGAGAGGCGGGCTGCTATAGATGAGATGCTAGCTGGGAGATCGCGGGGAGATCGCGGGGAGATCGCCAAGATAGAGAGTAGAGAGGCCGCCGAGAAATCACACACACACACACACACACACACACACACACACACACACACACACACACACACACACACACAGAGAGAGAGAGGGAGGGAGGGAGGGAGGGAGGGAGGGAGAGAGAGAGAGAGAGAGCCGAATAGCCGAATCGCCGAGAGATCGCATTGAGAGAGAGCGCGCCGCGCCCTCCCCCCGGACTCTTCCCGGACCTTTCGCGGACGTTTCCCCGCAGGCGCCGCCCTTCAAGCAGAGGGCGCGAGGCTGCGCGCAAGGCTGGAGGTCGCCCAGGGCGGCGGCGGCGCGGCGGAGGTCACGTCGGCGCTCGTCTCGCTAGCGGAGGAGAGACTGCAGCCGCTGTATTATGATGTCTTATTATGATTATGTGTTGTTCTTATTCCTATTCTTATTCTTGTTATCATTCTCAGGAGAGGCTGCAGCAGCTGGAGGCGGCGCTGGCGTCCAAGCGAGCGGAGAGCGAGCGGATGGCGCCCTCGAGTTTGGGGGGGGAGGGCGAGCTGTGAACAGCGTCTCTTCACGCCTGCGGCTGTGAAGCAGGCGGCCTCGAGTTGGGGCGCGTGGGCGAGCTGTGAACAGCGTCTCTTCACGCCTGCGGCTGTGAAGCAGGCGGCCTCGAGTTGGGGGGCGTGGGCGAGCGACGCGGCCGTCCACTCTGAGCTGCGCAGGCGGCTAGACATTTCCGAGACGTTTCCGAGACATTTCCGAGACGTTTCCGAGACGTTTCCGAGAAACTTCCGAGATCCTTCCGAGACACCCTTCCAGAGCACTCGTGCCGGTCGCCTCGCCACATCCGCTTCCCCTCTTCCCTCCCCCTGGCCCCGGCGACTCCTTCTCCCTCCGGACACTCCGCCAAGCCACCGCGAGCAGGCTGCTAGACGAGCAGTCGCGAGGTGTGAAGTAGTTTGCGTGCAGAGTCCAGCGGCACACACCGCCCCCGCATGTGCCGTGCAGGCTGCAAGACGAGCTGTCGCACGCCCACCTGGACGCAGTCCGGCTGAAGCGGGGCTGGGGCGAGGCCGAGGCGGCGGCGGCGGCCGCGGCGGCGGCGGCGGCGAGTGCGCTAGAGGCTGAGGCGGCGGCGCGGGCGGAGGCGGAGGCGGATCTGGCGGCGCTTCGCGTGTCGCACGAGATGCTCTCCGGCAAGCTCTCGGCCCATCACCGCCCCTTCTCTCGTGTGCGTTTTGCTGCACCCTGCGATGCTGGGGGGAGCTATAGGCGAGCACGCCACGCTGCTGGCGTCGCACGAGGGCGTGTCGGCGCGCGCAGAGGCGAGATGTAGCCGAGATGTAGCCGAGATCTAGCCGAGATGTAGCCGAGATACAGCCGAGATCTAGCCGAGATGTAGCCGAGATACAGCCGAGATGTAGCCGAGATATAGCCGGCAGCCGGGGAAAGAAAGGCGACGCCTGGATCGCCAGTCAGTAATGAGGACTGGATAACTCACTAGGCGCTCGCGGCGTCGGAGGCAGAGCTGAAGGCCGGCGTTGTGGCGCGGGACGAGCAGCTGCAGCTGGCGGCGGTGAGAGATAGCCCGAGACATAGCCGAGAGAGGGCCGAGGTGGGGCGAGCAGTTGGCGGCGGTGAAGCGCGGCGGTGAAGCGTGGGCGTGGCCTCGCGCCGAGAGCGAGAGCGGAGGAGATGGCGCTGAGACTCGGCCGGTCAGCTGTCGAACCAGTCCAGCTGTCGAGCAGGCGAACGTGGAGGAGGCGCACCGTGAGCTGATCGAGCTGCGCAAGGCATCTCCCCAGATCTCGCCAGATCTCGCCAGATCTCCCCAGATCTCCCCAGATCTTCCCATACCTCCCCAGATCTCCCCAGATCTCCCCAGATCTCCCCGGATCTCCCCAGATCTCCCCATACCTCCCCATACCTCCCCAGATCTCCCCAGATCTCGCCAGATCTCCCCATATCTCCCCATACCTCCTCATACCTCCCCAGATCTCCCCAGACCTCCCCAGATCTCCCCATATCTCCCCATACCTCCTCATACCTCCCCAGATCTCCCCATACCTCCCCAGATCTCCCCAGACCTCCCCATACCTCCCCAGATCTCCCCAGACCTCCCCAGATCTCGCCACATCTCACCGCGAGCTGATCTTGCTGCGCAAGGCTTCTTCTGCCGCGACGCTCTCTGCGAGGTACGACGAGCAGCTGCAGCTGCTGCGCGAGCAGGCGACGAGATGCAGCCGAGATGTCGCCGAGATGCAGCCGAGATACAGCCGAGATGCAGCCGAGATACAGCCGAGGTGTGATTGCTGCGCGAGCAGGCGGCGGCGCGGGCGGCGGCGGATGCCGCGGCGCTCGCGCAGGCGCGGCAGGCGGAGGCCGAGGCAGTCGAGAGGGCGTCGCGCCTCGCATCGAGAGCGTCGATGTGCGACGCCCTCGCCGCGCAGCTGCGGACGGTCGAGTCGCGAGGTCTCGAGGAGGTTCGGGCGAGGGGGGAGGCGGTGGAGGGGGAGGCGGCGCCGGCGCGTGCGGCAGCGGCCGCTGCGCTCCCCGCCGCCGCCGGCGAGGGCGACGGGGCAGGTCCTGAGCCGGGGGAGCCCAGGGAGATGCAACCTCGTGCAACCTCGTGTGATCTCGCGCAATCTCGCGAAGGCCTCGAGCCGGAGGCGACGAGGGAGCCGGAGGCGGCGCGGGCGGCGAGGGGGGAGGTTGAGGCGGCGGTGCGGGCCGAGCTGCGGTCGGCGGAGGAGGAGGCGCAGGCGCTGCGGGCAGAGCTCGCGGAGATGCGGTCGGAGACCGCTTCGGTCGGGCAGGACAAGAGGGAGAGTGGGGGTGCTCGTACGCACTCCTCTGCGTCGGTAGGTGCGAGAGCGCGTCGCTCGAGCACGACGTGAGCTGTTGTGAACACTCTTCTTCTTATTCGTGTCCTTATTT